CAGGAATGTTACAGAGGAATGTGTACTTACTTTCCTTATGGAGTACTAGACGAGGTAAGCTACCAGGAATGTTACAGAGGAATGTGTACTTACTTTCCTCATGGAGTACTAGACGAGGTAAGCTTACAGGAATGTTACAGAGGAATGTGTACTTCTTTGTGATCATTTTCAGGGGAATTGTATTCTCAGCTATAATGGCACTGGTTATGTAAATCAACTCTTGCCAATCATCTTGAAGCTTGAAGATTATCCTTCAGGGACGACGCAGTTTGATTCGTCTAACGTTTTGGGCTCCGTGGATCTGCAGTTTGTAGTACACATCACAAATGATACTGGTAAATAGCGAAATGAGTATTTTAACTTAGATATTGCTATTTTTGGTCTCAATTTGAGACAGTAAATGTCTTGTTGAAAAAATAAAAAGCAAGCAAACGATTAACTAGATGTAGCAGCAGCACAACACAACAGTATCAAAAACAGAAACAACAGTAACGACAGCAACAACAGCAACAGCAACAACAACAGTAGTAGCATAGTTGCAACAACGATGAAATAGCAAAGACGAAAGAGGCATTTTTGCAAGTGCACTGATTGCATGTTGTTTTTTTCACTTAATAGACATTTTTGATTTACAACAAGAGAATATTCTCTTGTTTACAATTAGTGATTCGTCAGAAAAGCGTTCTACCGAGCGGTTTTGGCTTTATTATTTTATTTTATTTACGTTTAACAGTTCGCATTCAAGGTGGAGGGTTCTCAGGTCGATTACAAGTTCTTCATAATGGAGTATGGGGTACAGTGTGTGATGATGACTGGTCCATGAACAACACCCACGTGGTTTGTCGTCAGCTTGGCTTTGCTGGTGCCCTTTCTTATCGTGGCAGTGGAGGAGGAACAGGACAGATATGGCTTGATGATGTACGATGTTCTGGCAACGAGAGTGCTATTCAACAGTGTAGACATCGTGGATGGGGAAGGCACAACTGTGGTCATCATGAAGACGTCTTTGTATCCTGCTATCGTGATGGTAATTTCATGTATTACTAGAATATAAATAATAACCCCGTTGGGTGATATTTGCAATGATGTCAGTGGTCCAGTTTAAGGTTAACGACAAAAATCTCGATATGACTGTAAAATGATGTTTTTTTTTTTTCATTTCAAACCTTAAAGTGGTTTTAATATATTCGTTGTTTGCTGCATCCAAAATCCTATATCTTTATTTGCAATAAAAACGCTTATAACAACAGTAGCACCAACAACAGTAGCACCAACAATAGCATCAATAGGAGTAGTAAACACAACAGTAATATTTGCATTATCAGGTTTGGTTTACGATGCTTAATTCAGAAAGATATTGTTGTACTGAACACTCTTCGATTTGTATTCATCGTGTACTGTTCTTACTGCTCGAGGGAATCAAGGGTGGTGTTACAGAAATATACGCTCGCCTCTCACCTCTGGGATCTTGGGCTCGATTCGAAGTTAAGGTTTTGCTCCGCGAGGGTTTTCGAGTTTTGCTACCTTTGCAAAGCCTAACAAGCTAATTCATTTGATCTGTGAGTTAGCCATGTCCTTTCTTTGATAAGCCCAGAGGTTGTTTCAGGGTTCCATCTGTGAGTTAGCCGTGCCCTGACATAGATCATCCCAGAGGTTGTTTCAGGGTTCAATGTGTGAGTTAGCCATGCCCTGACTTAGATCAGCCCAGAGGTTGTTTCAGGGTATCTATAAACTTAGTTGTTTCCTGTTTCACAGTTCGCATTCAAGGAGGGGGGTTCTCTGGTCGATTACAAGTTCTTCATAATGGAGTATGGGGTACAGTGTGTGGTGATATCTGGTCCATGACCAACACCCACGTGGTTTGTCGTCAGCTTGGCTTTGCTGGTGCCCTTTCTTATCATGGCAGAGGAGGAGGAACAGGACAGATATGGCTTGATGATGTACAATGTTCTGGCAGCGAGAGTGCTATTCAACAGTGTAGACATAGTGGATGGGGAATTCACAACTGTCATCATATTGAAGACGTCTTTGTGACATGCTATCGTGATGGTAATTTCATGTTTTGCTAGAATATACATAATGTTCCCGTTCGGATGGGAGAAAAAAAAACCCTTAACGCTCAAGGTAAGAGGGTCGATTCTAAATGCATTATAGTGAATAAAATCATTTGTTTTCAAGAATGCAGCAACTACACTGTGCTCAACGCACCAGACCGTGCACAAGGATACCGGGGAATAAAGAACAAATGCGACAGGTATATCACTCCAGCATGGTACCGCTTCATGGGTGATGCAGGCACTGCCATAGCAACATCTTGTGTCCCTGTACGTCACTGTGGTACTGCTGCTCCAGGATGGATGACTGGTTCTCATCCTACCCAAGC